AATGAGAGATCAGAATTTCAGTGGGATTATAACTGTCCACATGAAACAAGGTTCACAATATATAGGGCTGATATAGACTGGCAAACCAGTTGGGGTATGGGTCAAGTAGCAAAAGCAGGCCAAACTATCAGTGGGGTAAATGCACATAACTTCATTGAAATCAATGGAACCGAACAGCTTATTTCAGTGATAAATAATATGCTGCAAGTTTTTCTAGAATTTTAAAAAAGGGTTTAATAAAAAAAGATTTCACTTCATTGACCAACAAAAATCTCACGTAAAGCACAAAGAAAAACCTAGTTTGCCACAGGGTGAGAAGAGTATGGATGTTGATCTGAATTGGATTGTGAAATGAATGAATGTGTGTAGTTTGCATGCAACAGACAACTTGGTTTCCAACTGAAGAAGGGTAGAAGAAATATATTTTTTTTTAAGCACAGGGAAAACTTTAAAGTAGAAGCTATTTGACAAGGTGTTCCATCTACTTGGAATATTCACATTTGCTGTGAAGGAGAGGGCATTCAGCAGTTGTGATGCCTGCACTCCCTGTCAGGTACACTGAAACTTGCTGGCAGCCATCCCAGAACTTTTCAAGGAAGAGTACATGGATGTTCTCAGTATTTTATTGCCACTGTTTGCAAACTCCTGATAAATTACATTCCTGAGTTAAAATTTTACCTTCTTGCGAGACCACTGTAAGTGGTGGCAACTAAAAACTATGGAGAAACTTGCCTGATCATGGGAACCTGTCTGGCAATGGACAGCAGAAACATTCCATGAAGACTTGTGGTCTCATCTCGCTACTCCCCTTCTAGAGAGCAGTGTGGCTATGTCAGCAAGTGTTTATTTATTTAACTTGTAAAGCTGTCATTGCAGACAGCTGTTATTGCAAAAAAGTCCCACCTGATTAATTTCTTCTGATAGCCAAAGGTTTCTTGCATACTATTTCCAAAAAAGAATATGAGCTCAGAGGTGTATGTAGTCTTGTTAATTACCCAAATGTATCTAGATGTGTTCCTGCTTCCTAGGTTTATTTGTGAAAAAAACCCAACATCATTACTTTTTAAAGATGACCCCTTTCTCTAGGTACCATCCCCTAGACATTTGGATCTACTTCTATGATGAGAAACAGTGAACTTTCTCTTTCTCCTTTCTTTCTTCATTTTTTACACAAGACATTTCACAGGCAGAGGTCTTTTTAAAAATCTTTTTCAATGGGATGTAAAACTTCAAAGTGAACAACAAAAGATGAATGCAAACAAGCATGTGGAAAAAGTTAATGGTTGGAACTGTTGGAACTGTTTACAACAGTATCTCTGAGGAGCTCTTTTAATATGATCAAGAAGATACATTGATGCTTTCAAAAATTTAAACTGTAGGATGAAGAGGCTTCTTTCAAACACGTCTAGATGCTCTTTATGACTCTCTAAAAGAACAGAAACCTATTTGTCTAGAAGTTCAACATAATTGTAGAGTATGGCTGTTTTCTTTTTTATATCTATTTGTGTTCTTGCTAAGAGCAGTATTAAATAACCCAATAGCCAGTGATACCCTTTTAGAGATGCTTTATATTTGTAATAGAGAAATTACTATGACATTAAGGTCAGCTACAACATATTTCAGCAATACAGAAAGAATTCTTTTACAGGATATACTTTATTTGGTATGACCTGCTTTTTTCCTAAGAGTCTAGGCTAAGCTTAAAGCTGAATATTCATACTTTCAGAGTTCCTAAAATGCCGCAATGGCTAACAAATATTTTTGAGTGTATTTACAACTGCTGCAAAGGTTATTTGAAACACCTTGCCATATTTTCATATAGGAGGTGTTCACTGTAGTTTATAGCTTATACAAGGCCTCATTTAAGGATTTGAAAATGTGAATGTGTGTCTCCCTTTCTTTTTTTGCCCTTCTCTGCCAGTCTGTGTTTCACTGTGATTCTATAGTTAACTTTTACTGGAGCGGTTAACAGCAAATCCCATGGAACATATGTAGAATTAGATTTCAAACTTCATGTGGTTATTAGTGAGACACACCTGATACCAGTATCTCACTTCAACAGCATAAATGAAAAGAAATGCATTTAACTTAATAGAGTTGCATCAGTGCTGTAGAGGTGTGAGATCAGATTTTGTAGATGTAATGAGCTATCATACATATAGATTTAATCACACACTCTTCAACGTTAGGGTTCGTGCAGGAGGTATCCAGTGAGGGACTGACCTGTGTATATGGATGTATATAAATACATGATGGGAGGGAGTAAAGATGGAGACAATCTTTGAAAGGACAAGAGGTACTAGACTCAAATCATAACATAGGAAAACTTATTTAAATGTCAAAATCCCCCAATATTTATCACATAACCTTGTTATCAGAACTGGTATTCAGCAACACCACATCTTAAGCTCAATTTTATGGCACAATTTGGTATGGGCAGAGAGTTGGATAGGAGTAAAATCATTAGTCATTCATTTACACCATTTCTATGACTTGTTCTGAAAATGCTGTGAAAGATAGGCAGAGATTACATCAAATTGTTCTTGTCTGCCTCAGGGCTGTTCTAGCTAAGGATAAAAAATAAAATCCAAGCTGGAAGCAGAAAGAGATAGATATCTGAAATAAATGATGATATAATCTATTGCTCTCTTTGCTGCAAGGTTATCCCAGTGCCTATAAACATTCCTCAGAGATCCACAGTGTCTGTGTTTAAAAGCCACCAAGCATTTCTAATTTAAGGACTTGTTAAACCTATTCCATACTTCTGACATCATTCAAGAACAAGCCTTTAATCTTGTCAGAAGTTTATGACTAAATGAAAATTCTTAAGAGAAATTTTTAAGGATTTGATTATAGTGAGGTACTTTTGTCCAGAGGGCTGCTAACAATCAGGGAATTTGGCCTTTAGTTTGAAGACAAAAGAAAAACTGTTATAAAACCTTTTTCTTATTGCTCTAACTAAAACAACAAAAATTCCTATTAAAATAAATCAAGTGTTAAAATAATAACTCTTTTATGTTTTTTTATAGTGCTTTGTAATGCAAGAAGCTGAATGACATTTATATTAAATGGATAAACCTTTATATATATATATATATATATATATATATATGAATTTTCCTAACACTACCAGATCCAATTGATACCTCTAGCCTACATGATCAACATCATTAAAGCAGAAAATGTTATTTTATATGTCTATATGGTCATTTAAATATACGTGGAACTAGACCAAATATGAGAATCAAACAAAATCTGGAGAGTAGAACCAGTACAGGATCCAGGTTTCTAATCAGCTTCTATTAAAATCAAAACAGACCCTTTGTTTCTTTAGTATACATGTCTATCAGTGCCAAATCCATTCTGGGAATAAGGGACACACAGTTCACGTTTCACAGAACCCTAAATGAGATCCAACTGATCTCAGAAGTGCAGTTAGGTGACGGTTTTCACAAAACGTGGGTTGTTGTGGTTGCCTGAAATTTCTGACGTGCTAATATAGAACAAAGTAAAAGGGTTCAGTTTTCACTGTATGGGTGCTCAGGCCTTTATGGCAGATTCCTTTGAAGTGCTGAGCTGAAAAACAGAGACGGCCAGTATGTCTGGGAAACTACACCAAGTTGACTGTGCATCTACTAACACACTGTATGCGCCTGAGGTCATTCTCCTCTACAAAGGTCAACAACCATGGGACAGCCCACATTCCTACCATTTATCTCTTACTCTCCAAGACAAGATGACCACATGCAAACTACCCACTAGGAATGGCAGCTGGACTCTGCCAACTCCTGGTTCATGCTCAGAAATAACCAGGGAGAACACCACTTGTTCTAGGCCAAAACTAAGCAGAGACCAGGCTGACAATTTAGCAACATGGTGACTGGACGTCATGGCCTGGGAACCATCCTCAACACTATTTTCCTTAATACAGATGCAGCATATCCACCCCTTTTAAGGTCAAAGCCTCATCATTTGATGGCAAGTAAGTTACAAATACAGAATTAAAATCCTTTCTCCCTTCTCAGCAAAAGCTTAATGTGGGGGGGAGGTGATTTGGGATGTAAATAAATGGTAGATTGCACAGAATTAGAACTGTCATTTTTGCATTACGGTTTTAAAGTTCTAAACACGAATGCAAACAAATACATAACTTGTAAATGAAAGACAATATTAACAAGAGACCTCAGATAAAATATTTGACTTCAGATCCTCTGTGAAAACTACAGCAACTGTCATCTTTGAGAATCCTAACAGACCTCCTAGACCTGTACCTGCACATAAAGGGCAATTTCATCAGGCTCTGCAAGTGCATGGTTACCTGAGAGCACCACTGTCTCTTCTAAACAGTGTTTCTTTATCATTATGGGTTTGTACTGCTAGCTTAACATCCCCTTGCTTTACCATTTGGTGGATGATTTGAACTAACAGGAGGAAACACAAAACATAGCCCAGAAATGTGTGCTTTGTTCATTTACAGACAAAGATGTTAAACCATAATAATGTTCCCCGCCAACATAATGAAAAACAGTGAGATGTTCACATCCTAAAAAACCAGCTGCACATACAGGTGTCTGCACCAGATGCTTCCCTAAGCACAATGTGATAGAAGTGATTATTCCTCACTCAACAGAGAACAATCCCTAAGCAGGGTATTTAAAGAAGGATGATAGTGCAGGTAATTAGGAGCCCCATGCCTTACACACAAACAATGTTTAAGAAGGTGAAGCTAAGAACCATCTGTCCTTTACACATGGGCCTAGGTTTTTCTTTTTGAATTCATCACAACAATGGGCAGTTGTCAGTCTGATTTCTCAGGCAAGACTCTACTCAGAAAAATATTAAGGATTAAGTGACTTACCTCTGGTTTTAATAGGTGTTACCTTCCCTGTGACTTCTTGACACAGGCACAGGAATCTAATACCTGACCAATGGACATTTCTATGAGGAATGAAGGAATATCCTGGTCTTGCCCCAAAGTATGTATATAGTGTCATTCCTACCTTTGGACTTCCTGTCATGGTAGCTCCTGCCTCGATAATGGTGGCCACTGTCTGTGTACAAATTCTCAAGATCTTCTTGCCAGGAGTCTGGGTTAAAGTGTTTGAGCAGATCCTCCACCGTGTCAAATGCAGCAATGGTCTGATCCAGTGCTTCTGCTGTGAGCGTAGGGTCAGTCACTGATGGAGAGGGATAGGATACCCCCTAAGAGTGACATACATCTCAGTGTACTTGGAATAAATTACAGCACCACTTAAAACAATAGAAAACAGTTACTGAGGAACTTGTCTCATTATTGACTGAAACAGCTACTTTGGGCCATCTTCTGAAGTTCTTAGCTGGGCCAGGCTTTGTTATGCTTATATTTTCCTTTTGCAGGGAGAAGAGACACCACAAAACTCCCAAGTAAATCCCAGAGGAGATGCAATGCATGGAAACAGTGCCACTGCTGGACTGTCAACATGCACACTCACTCCTCAAAGGGGATAATGGTTTGCACATATACAAAGATGTAACAGAAATGTCTTTTGAAACCACTGTGATGGCCATGACCGCAGATCAGAGGTGCCTTGTAGTGCTGGGGTGGTGCCTTCAGAGCTCCACCAGCTCTATCGGTACATCCATAATAAGCATATCAGAAACCACAGCACAAAAAGACAAAGACAACAAATCCACTAGACTGTCTTTCTTTCCCTGGCCAGTTTGGACAACAAATTTGTCTTGGTTTAAGACTTGAAAAGATGGCCCTTTATTCCCAAGAACTAAATGTATTATGAAACACCAATAAATGCCAATTCTCCCACCCTTTTACCAAAAATACAAGTTACTGAGCAAATAAGAAAAAACATGATATTTGGATCTCAGCAATGTAACAGTGAATATTGGGATTACCAACACAGTCATATCCTCACAATTGTATCATAATACCACATGAAATATTACTTCCCACCAGGAAGGGCAAAGTACCATTCTCTAAGCATATTTGGTTTCCACTGAACTTGTGTCACAATGTGACTTTGACAGAAAGATTGTAGCAATTTCATTTTTACTGGAGAGGACTTTAAAAATTTTTAATAATTGTTTTTTAGAATCACAATACTCACTACCCTGGTATCACTTTTTCCTTTGTCCAAGCACACAGCCTGATAGTATGTGTAAAATATGTGCAAGAAAAACTATAAATGTTACTTTCTGAAGGACCACAATCGAAACGCCTGCTTTTGTCCAACAAGTGCAATATATCACGACTTGTTGGGAGTTTGGTTTTATAAGTTAAAACATCGGGGGAAAAACCCTAGAAACCCTCTTCTCTCACAAAAACCTAGCTCTGAAGTAATGTAGCAGAAATATAACATTTAAAATTAATGTCTCCCCAAAATAATTTTTTTGCTTCATCTTCCAAGTAAATGAATATGTTAAAGTATTAATCCTTATGATTAACTTCACTCAGTTGGGTAGTAATTGAAAGGTCAATTCATTTGAGTAAAGTTACTCACTTTTTTGCAGGACTGTGTGCTTCAATGCTTATTAAAATAGTTTCAAAGTATATGTGTCTTCTAAAGAAAACATTTGTCTTTAATGGTGAGTGATATCATAAAAGTAACAATATTTGATATTTTACTGTACATGTTTGCTAAAAGTACAGACAGTCCAAATTATTAAAAAGGAGAAAGAGAAGAAATAGAGAACATTACAATAGGGTGGTCAAGAAAGCATAGCTATGCTTTACTGCTTATCACCAACAGCACAAGAAGTTTCAGAGGGCCCACTTGTGACTGCAATGCCCCTACAATGCAGTGCTAAATAAGACACAGTGCAGATGGCTGTAAAAAATCATGACTCACTAAAAGAGAAGGCATACCTCAGAGCACCCCTCCTGACTTCTATGTGGCTTGGAATAGAGACTGTCAGAGACAGGAGCCCCAGGAATTGAAAAGCTCACGACAGCAAAGTGAACACAGCATTGTTATCTAAAACAATGCTGCAGGAGAGACTGTGCTGTGGGCAGGCATCATGCAGTGTGCTAACACTGTCTTTGAGGTTACAAAAGGAAAAAGCACACAAATGCTACTTGCTCACTGAAGAGAGCTCTGTGGAGCTCATGGCTCATGTGTGACTGAAGCCCAACAGAAAAATGTCAGTCCCCGACTACCTTTCAAAAGTGAGGGAGATGATGCAAGGATGCTGAAGAAACAGCAACATAAAAACCAGGCCACAAGTGTGTGGCTCAGACGATGCAAGAGTTTTTTTCACGTGTTCAACTGTGTATTTCATTACAGAACTGCAGGTCAGGCTGTGAATTTGCAGGGCATTTCAAACTCATACAGGCAGCAGGGATTCCCCATTTTCTTTTCATATAAAAGCTCCTACTCAAAAGATTTGAGCAACACAGAGGAGAAAGCTTAACTTTTTCTCAGTGACAGCTAAGTCAAAAGGAATTATTTCAACAGCTCAGATAACCTATTGGCAGTGACATCATGTGACAGGCCCAAAAGCAACTTCAAAGCTGCCAACCCAACTGCCTCTCTTTTGTCATGCCAAGAACGAGGCGCTAGTTTTAGAAGAGCTTGTGCTAGTCATAATCTGGTTTCTGAGATCACATCCAAAGAGAGGTCAAGAGGAGGAGTGAAATGCAAGAAGCAATGAAGAGCAAAGATTTTACACATTATGTACCTCTTCTACATTTCTAAAAAGCACTGAATTATTTTTAATTTCATGGGACACAAAGGCATCTTTGTCAGTGCTCTTAATTTCTGTTCCTCCATTCTTTCCTGTTTTCTACCTGTATGTGAAGCTGACAGGCAGTTCAGCGTGCACCAGTTGTTTGATGGTTATAACATTACTTCACAAATAATGGAAACTAACTTAATAAGGAGTGATTTTTTTTTTTTTCTGGATTTGCCATGCTGGGTTAAGGGCAGAAATACTGGTTTTTGCTTTCTGAGACAAAAAAAACCCCACCAAAATATGACTCTGTGATATGACATCAGACAAGGAAGAAAGAATTTGCTCACTCTCAAATTTTCATTCTGAGAATTGTAATACACCCAGACCCTAAAATGAGTCTTTGGGTTGCCTGTGGGTTTAAGGGGCAAAACTTGGATCTGCCATGCTAACAGAATATCATCAGGGAGTATCAGTAGGACAGTATGCCACCTTGCAAGCAACTAGAAAGTCTGTTTGTCCTTCTGCCCTTCAGGCCCACAACAGAATCCCTGAAAAATTCAAATGTCAGACTTTTTCCATGGCACCTTTGGGAAAAAATTTCTCAATGTCTCTACCTTATTTTCCCTGATGATAAGAAAGGGCTAGTGGGTGCAATACACTCCCGGTGGAAGAAGGTATATTCTACTAGAGAAGGGATGGCATGGGCAAAACAGCGAAACTGGGGTTTTGCTTCTCGTTTAGCTGTAGGTTTCCATGTGACCTTGGCCATCAGCTTGCTACCTTTAATATTTGTACTGAACTTCCCTACCTGTAACGCTAACAACAACTTTTCAGAAACAAATAGATGTGAAAGATAAATAAAGGGTTTTTTTCAATATGAAAAGAATATTGGATTATTGTTTGGTGTATTCTGCATCTTACAACGTTAAGGATAACTAACATGGCATTTACCATTTACTTGATATTATTTTCATAGTTACCTGATGAGGGAGCCCTAAGCTTACATTTTCAAACATCAGTTTACCATATTTTTAAACAAAATATTCTATCACATAGATTTTTTTTCCCAACCCTATATTAGAATGAAAAATGGGGTTTATGTCTTTCAGTAAAACAGTGTTTTAGCATCTCCTTGTCACATTGAGTAGATCTCAGCCTTGCTAACATTACTACTCAGGACTTTCAGCACCATTAGTTCAAGGCTCTCAATGCATCATATCATGAAGGACAAGTGTCATTTGCAAACTCAAGAGTAAACATGGATGAGATTAGCTTCTAATTGGCTTCCTCTTCTAATTTTAGCAATACAGAATTTTCTCTCTACTTGCTTCCTGGCTTGGACACTAATGAGTAGAATGTGTTTTAAGAGGAGTTTACAAAAGCTGTGACATGGTGCTGACCAGCACAAAGAGAACTGTCCCTATTACGAATTCTGATGCTACATTGTCATTCCTCAGTATTTAATTTGGGAAATGAAAGAGGGGACAGATTTTTGGCCACTGACACAAATAAAATATAAGGAAAAGAAAAATAAAATTTTACACCGGATTACTTTTTCTTTTTTTTTTTCTTTTTTTTTTTTTTTTTCCCACCAAGTTGAATTTCACTGCTGAATATGGAGACAATTGTATTACACACACTTTCATAAAGCCTCAGTATTGACAGTGAAAAGTTAGATCCATTTTCCTGCTAGCCTGTTTTAAGTACAGTCTTTGATTTAGGTCAAGACATTCTGCAAATGAAAATTTTAAGGAGATTATATCTTGTATTTTCATCTTGGTAGGATGAGTTTGAAAGCAAGGGTTTCCCAATGGCTATCTCATGTGGCAGCAATAGCTGATGGCATATCCTGAATCTTTTCTTCTTAAAAACACACTGGTTGATTCCAGTATGAGTTGGAGAAATAGTTATTTCATCCTCTGCCAAAGGTGAATACATGGTTTGTCTGTGCAGGTGCCATTTTAGGGAGTTGGATTCAAGTCATCCTATCTATCCATCCATGGGCAAAATAGTAACAAATTACTTACTGAGACAGAGCTTGTGACTGACTCCCAGTTGGTTTCTGAGGCTGCATGCTGGAAATCATCCTAAGGGGAAAAACCCACAGGAAAAATCACCATTAAGGCAATGTCCTAAATTAACTGCAGAACCTAAAAATGTCTCAGCATTCAACATTTGCCATCTTTTTTCAACCCTCTTTAGTGCAAGAGGCCCTACCATGTGTCATTTCTAAATAATGTTACTTCCATTCAGGTTTTTCCCTTTACATTATATTTATTTATATTTTACACATATATATTATACTTACTATTTATAAACTAGCTCCTTTTGACCTTGCTGGAGCAAGAATAAACATTATTATTAGTAGTAATATGATATATGCTACTTTGCATAGCAAAACCTAATCTGGTTAAGGCCATTACATTTATCTTCCAACATAAACTCCACCTCTGTATGTCTACAATCAAATGCTGTTCCCCAAACTGATCCATTCCAGAAAGAATGTGGACATGCTAATACCCTGGTACTACTTAGCCAAGGTGAGAATCAGGATAATCTAATCCATTTGCCATGTAGTCCTAACATGGCTGTACTGGCTTTGGTGCTTGTGCTGAACAGGATTCACTCATCTGTGCAAAGCACTGAATGGCACTATGACCTTTACAACAAAGAACACAGCCACTGTACATTCACATTGGAAGTTTCATTGCACAGATCCTCTGGGTTATCTATGATTAATCTGGGAACAGGCATGGGATATATCTCATCTACCTGTGGATATCTACAAACCAAGCCTCTAATCTAGTCACTCTTCTTTCTATTTACAGTCAACTAAAACTAGCATTTTTAGGGTGCAAATCATCTGATCTATTTTAGAAGCTTAATTTAAGATGACATTGCATCCAAAAAATGATTTTTTCTCTCCATTGTCTATAAAGGGAGCCTGTGAGGACTAGATTAGATATAGATGTCAAAATTGTAGATACTGACACGTGGTTACCTGAATCCCAATCCACTTGTCTGACCAGTGATGGGCAATCATTACTTAAATAATAAAGAAATAATTTCTGTAATCTTTTGGCAGTCTTACTCATTTCTAATTGGAACAATTAAACCATCAAAAATGGGAAAAAAAGGCAGCATTGCAGAATGGTTACTAAACACACACATGCAGCGAATAGCTAATGATCAGCATGAATGGGCAGGTAAAGAAAGTGAACTGAAGTGACAGCATACCAAGATTTTAATTTCTAATTACAGAATTTACAATGAAAAGATTTAAAGAAGATGGATCAATGCCTAGGATCACCGTTTGACACTGACTCAGTATCTGCTATGCATTTTTTAAGTTGGCAACTGAAAGGAAAAATGGAAGGGCAGATGCTCAGCTGACGCTCTCTAGACTCAATGCTGCATTGGAGCAGACATATTCTTAGGAATGGAAAACAGAAAATTGATCATATAATCTGCTAATACATTAATAAAATTCTCCTTCATTCAGGAAGGAACAGAGCTGCTTTCAGATCCACACTCAATATACACGGTATTTTAATCCTTCTCATTTGCTATAGAAAAAAGTAACGATAGTTTATTCAATATTGTTACTGCTTCTTCTTCCTTAAAATGATCCTTTCTCCCAAATTTGAGGCAGCAAAACTGTAGTGATTTCTTCAGTACATAAAATTAGTGGAAGTTAAGAATCCCCATCACACTATAGTGTTGATAAGTGACCACTGAAACTTCAGGATCTTAAAATATTAATAATTATAGGAATATAAAAGTAAAAACATTATTGATGAAATTTTTTATGCAGATTTTTTTAAATTAACAGTAAAGAGATCTTCAAATGCTATGATCAGGTCATAAATAATTCAGGATCAGTGGGCTACCTTGGCCACATTCTCTAGACATTTGGTTGCCCAGTTATTGAAAAGCCATGATTTAAATTACATAAAAATGGATTTTAAAAGCTCATGGATCCTCTGGTAATGGTTGCCAGTTGCAAAACTTGGAAATCATTTCCCCTCTGTCATTAGCTTCCATTTAGCACTTCCAGAAAAAAAAGTGGCATTGAGTTCTAAGGCATTATTTTAAAACAGGAACAATCTGCCTCATTGAATGTTTGGAGAAGACCGCAGACAAGGAATAATTTTGTGTTCGAAGTGACGGTCCCCTTGTGTTATCTAATTGTAGATATCAAAACTGTTTCTTTAGTCTATGATTCTTTGAGATGGTTGATGCCAGGAAACCCCTCCAAAACCCTGAGATAGACATGTGTACCACCTGCTTCTTGGATCTCAAACCTGATGACTGCACATTTTGACTCTGATTATATTTCATCTGCATAAACTATTCACAATTATATGGCTTTGTTCCACCATCACTCAAGGCAGCTGCAGTCATTCTTGGCTTCTCAGAGCTTTCAACCTCTACAGTTTGAAGATTATTATCTACAGCTTCTGCTTGCAGCTATTTCAAGTAATAATATCAAAGTGGTTCTCATCATTACAAAACACTCTCTTACTTTCTCACCATTGTCCCTTGCAGAACCTGAAGGACAAATCTATTTTCAGTGATATCTATTTTACTCATACTCTCTTCTTTACATTAATTTGCATAGGGTCGCTTGGCTATTGTTTTCTTAATTACTTAAAATTACATTAAAACTTGTGGTTAAAACATAAACACACACACACACACACACACACACACACACACACACACACATCTTTTTCAACTGAATATTGGAAAAACAAGGTGTCAATAATTTGACTACATCACCCTGACAACAGTGTTTTTATTTTTGTGTGTCATGGTAACGTAACAACATCACATGAGACTTCAGCAAAGCACTGCATTAACTGTTCTACAAGCAGCAAAAATATAGCAAAAACAGGGCTACCAATCGCCTTCTGATATCAACAACTTTTATTGAAGAAAAACCGACTTCCATACCTCAACTTCCAAAATTACACCTCAGCAAGACAAATCCTGAGTCAGTCCTTAGAGTTAAACATGTATGGACATTGATAAATTGTTCTTGGCTGTGTTTCAGACAAAGACAAGCTTCTCTCTCTGCTTTGCAGACTGACTTCATCTATAGCCTGTCTCCCACCACTGATCTCCAATAAGTGACAAAAGTAATGGGGAACAGTCTTTGTTTCACCTCGGGCTTTCACACATGGAGATCATGAGGCAAAATCACTGCTATCAAGGACGTATGAGACTGCCGAGCCAGATAGCACTGGTTGCTGAGGAGGATGATTTGCATCCTGGGGTCCATGACCTGCAGCAGCACAGGCTCTGCTGGGCTTAAGCCATGGGGTTTGGTAAGGCAGCAGAATCAGGGAGACATCAGAAAGACACCAGGGATGAGGCTGGGAAACTTGCCAGTTTGAGAAGCATGTTTTCTGTGACTTATGTTGCTGTAGCACAGATATGGCAAAGCAGGTGAGTCCTCCCTGCCATGCTGAATTACTGCCTAAAATTAAAAGCAAGAAACACTTTCTAACATTTCTGTGATTCTTCATTTTTTACATACTTCAGCACTGTAGGCCAGCCTTTTGTCATTTAGGTGCTTGACATCTATGAGGCCTGATCCCTGGGATAGGCAATAATCACCACAGGACAGGCAGAAGACACGAGCAGCTCTGTCCAGTGAAAAGAAGCAGCCCCACATCTCTATAAACTCCTCTCTAAACTCTTTCTCCTAACCTGCAGGTCTGTGAGGTGATTGAATTATGCTTGGTAAAATACTGTTTATCTCCCAGAACAACTATCAACTGTGGCTAGTAAAAGCTGAGATGATGCTCTTTGCTTCAAGGAGTGGGACATGTTTACAAAATAGTTGTGGTTAAGAAAAGCCCAGGCAGCATCCTACACTGATGTTTAGGGCCTACTGGTTTAATGACATCCTCTCCTGAAGGTGCAACCTTCTCTGTTGTGACCTTGTCATGGGAGTGGGAGAGAAGTGAGGGTGGAAAGGTAAAAATGCAGGCATGTTCTTGGGGCAAGTATACAGGAGAAAGAGGGAGAAAGAAACAAACTAAGGAAAAATTAACACAGAGAAGCTGAAAGTGTTGGGCTTTGTCTGTGCTCACCTCATTTGTGGTATTTACACTCCGTAGCTATAAACTATATAAAGGAGAAGCAGTTTCTAGAAATTTGCAGAAGAACAGGGCTAAGGGATTTACTGAAGCACAAAGGAGATTCTGCAAAACCAAATCAGAGGTTAAATGGGGCATGTTCAAAGAAGTCCAGTACAGAAACAAAAAGAAGTCAGGATCTCACTGAAACATAAGAATTAGGACTAGGACAGTGGGAAGGTCTCTAAGGAAAACCCAGGGTAAATGACAACTCAAAGAAAAAGACATTAAATTATCCTAACATTTAAATTAATAAAAAGAAACTCAGTGATAGCTATTTTTGAACAATAGTCACCATGTATCTATTGCATCCAGAGATGTTTTCAGAGAGGTAGCTGATAAGCAGATAAACTTCTAGTTAGTCATAAGAAATAATAATCTGGAAACAAGGTCTTTTTTTTTTTTTTTTTTTTCCCCTCTATAAAAGCAATAGTACCAATATTTTCTCTGTCATTGTATTTATACACATTACATTTTATATACAAAGTGACAGGTATTTCAAGCAAATAAACCCCAAACTCAGATCAAACGGTGTAACAGCAATTACAACAATTGTTGTTTCAGCAACAGTGGAAGGTAAGTAAGAGGCAAAAGAAAGGTCATAATTCCATTCAAAATTTATCTTATCTTAAAGATAAATAAAAGCATAGAGATGTACACTTTGAAATATTTTTTTCCTTTCACCATATTCTCAATCCATCACATTGCTAGGTTTCATGTTTATATCAGAATGATATTTATCACCACTTCTCCCTAGGATGCTGAAAGATACCTATTTTCCTAAGGATGCTGAAAGATACCTATTTTCCTACAGCAGGTTATTTACTAGGAAGTCAGAGGTTGCATTTTTCTTACCTACAGTAATGGTCAAACCACTGCCCTGTTCAGTTCTGGTGACCAGGCTTTAAAAGAAAAGATGCCAGAGTTGGAAAGCATGCAAA